TTTTGCTTTTTGATTATGAGAAGGCCTTTGATACCGTTTGGCATCGTGGAATTGATCTATGAACTTTGACCCATGAAATTACCTATTGCTTATATTCAACTTGTAACTTGTTTTCTTCATGAACATCAGGCTGAAGAACACTACCTTTACCTTTACACATCTCCGTAGGAATTCCACAAAGATTCTGTTTTATTACCTTAACTTGATGTGTACCCAAAGTTGCAGATATTGCTTAAAGCTATACTGTTTGGTTCAAGCTGTAAGAATTTCATTCCTCGTCTTGATGATCGATTCTTTAACTTCTTCTTGATAATGTACCAGTTAACTTTTCTGATTCTGTTAAATATTTAGCGTTACCTTTGATAAACATCACACTTGGAAAGCCAACTTTGCTGCCATCTGCTTTAATGTTTTTAAAAGGCTTAACCTCATGCGATGACTCCTTGGGACTTACTGGGGATCGTTTTATCCACTTTTACTCTATGCCTCTAAATCCTTTGTACAGCTATATCTTACTTATGATAGTACTGCATTAGTATCAGCTTCTACTTATTACGATCGTCTCATGATTCTGGAACGTCATACTCTCAGATTAGCTTTCAGAATTTGTCTTCCAAGTCCCACGAAAGACCTATAAGACGTATTCCCTTTCCTTTTGTCACTTCCCACCTCCATAAACCTCATCAAAAATACATACTCCAGTACTTCATTAACAATAATATTACCCTTGCGAACTTGCCCAGAAGCTCATTTCCTCTGCTCAGCATCTTCTTAACATCTGTCAGATGTCTCTTCCAGTGGATAATTCAAATTTCGATGCTGCCCGATGTTACTTCTGCTGGCTCATATCTATCCATCTCAAGAGATTACATCTTTCTCTGACAGTTGTTACTTTTTGTATATTTGATCTGTGGTGTTATCATCATTGTCCGCTTCCGATTATCTCAGTTGTTTCTTCTGTCTCGTCCTTCCTATATTGATTTCTTTTGCACCTGCCCATCCATATTTCCACAGTTTCCTACATTTGGATACTTCTCCTGGCTGAGAAGAGGGCGCTGCCCTCTGCTGGTCCGCCAGTTTTCATACTTAGGGCTGGAATGAAATAACATATAAATATATATATATACTACTATAAAAGCCCATCAAAAATGACAGGAAACCATTGTTGAATGATTAACGAAATTAACTAAAATACATTTGTCTGTACCTCCAACATGCACCTACTCTTCACTTATTTCATCAGTCTCGAAGTAAATCTTTAACCACCACATTTGTTGTATAAACTACACAGAAAAACGAAATATTATCGTGAATAAAAGTACGTGTTCACTCTGAAAGAGACTTAAATAACACTCCTGAGTCTTTTTACTGTATTCTAGGTCAGGAAGTAGAAAACATAGTGCAGACATTCCGACACAAAGTTTCAACTCTTGCGGCTGTACAAAGGATAAGAAATATTTGGTAGTAACAAACGTGTATTTCTCTTCATGTTTTAAGGCCAAGTAGAAATTTATGTGTTAAAATACAAAAAGCTATTTATTAATTAACGTTTATTCACCAATTAAAACTTTTTAAACACTGACTCTGTAACGTTAGTAATAGTAGGTCTATTTGTAGTCTAATTTAATACATAAACTTGGTGAATTTTATTTGCTTTTGACTACAAATTAATGTCATAAAACTTCTGAGTTAAACTATTTTGCTGTTATATCACCGAAGTTATCAAAAAATAAAGAATAAAAAATAAACCTTTCTAACGAATGAGCATTCAACATAAACACTATAGTTGGCCTAGGAACAATCAGGTGATAGTTTTGTTGCTAAGCGACGGTGTATATGGTTGAGCATTACAAAAAAAGGAACGTGAAAGCGTTTTTGACAGAGTGACAAAGGGAGTAAGCCTTTTATAGATAGTGATATATTTGCTTCGCTCTTCCAAGCAGCACTGGTGAGCTTTAAATTCATCGAAACTAGTCTGCTGGAATGGAAGTACCAAATCAAAGATTATATCAGACTTCTATGTCATCTTTTCTTCATTTAAATTCACGTTTTGGCGAGGAAAAGAAATTTTCAAATAAAAGCTCTGTTATATTTGTTTCTTTTTAATATGGCTAGAAAATGGTGTGAAATTTTGCAAAATATAAAAGTCACAGTTTGTGTTTTTTCCAAATTTCGATCCACGTGATAGGCTTAACTTATTTATTTCATTCCACAAACATGATTCTGCTTAACATATATATACATTGCTGCTATCTGGTCCTGTCAAAAATTATTTCTCAGTGTTTCAGAGTAAGGCCTACATCAGCTAAAAAAAGAAATTTCTGTAAGCCCAAGGCCGAATCATCGCGAAATAAAATCTTTCGCTAAAGAATATAAGAGTAACATAAATATTTAATAACGTATATATTTTTTACATTATGTCAGGTATGATAATATATCTAACTAGCTGAAAAACTAATCCATTTGTTTCAGTTTCATTATTATCTAATATTTTTGTATGTTACTCGAATGATGAGGAATATTCAACAACGATCTGCTGTTAAGATTATATAAATTACAGTTTTTAAGATGGAGTTACAAAGTTATTTAACGTAACATGACATACGCCCAACAAGGGATCCTTTTGTCCTTCAAGTCTGTCCTTGCACACCCACCCTCCATTGAGAAAAATAAAAATTAAACCCACCCTTTATTTTTCATGAAATCATCGTCTTTCATCTTGAACTCATTCTATACGCCAATCACCCTGTCATTTAGTTAGTTTGATTATTTTAGAACAAAGCCACACTGGGCTATCTGATGTGTCCACCAAGGGGAATCGAACCCCGGATTCTAATGTTGTAAATCTGTAAACTTACCGCTGTCTGAAAAATAAAACTGTCATAGGAGCCTAACTTGTCTCTTACAACCTGAATCGTAAACCTGATTACGTTCTCTTTATAGAAGTAAATTATTATTTCGTTATATGCCTTGGTTAAATTCTATTTTAGTAGTATTTTCGCTGGACGAAATTTATTTTTTCAAAATATAAGCATTTCTTTCATTTAAGGGTTAAATTTTAAGAATTCAAATATTATCTGTGTACAAGTACTTCAATTTATTCCATAATTTTTTAATGACAACAATTTTGCTCCTAAATAGAACAGGCCCGGCATGGCCAGGTGGTTAGGGCGCTCGACTCGCAATCTGAGGGTAGCGGGTTCGAATCCCTGTCCTACCAAACATGCTCGCCCTTTCAGCCGTGGGGGCGGTTATAATGTGACGGTCAATCCCACTATTCGTTGGTAAAAGAGTAGCCCGAGAGTTGGCGGTGGGTGGTGATGACTAGCTGCCTTCCCTCTAGTCTTACACTGCTAAATTAGGGACGGCTAGCGCAGATAGCCCTCGTGTAGCTTTGCGCGAAATTCAAAAAACAAACAAACGTTAATGAGGCGCTATTTTAACAAGTTAAAACGAGCTCAGGTTTAAAAAAAAAGATGTACTATTAGAACGTTCTATTGACATAACACGTTTACACAACAAGAAAGGAAATAACTATTTTTAAACAACGAGGCATATTTAACTAATTATGTAACCACACTATTGCATAACTATTTGCCCCCCCAGTGGCACAGCGGTATGTCTGCGGACTTATACCGCTAGAAACCGGGTTTCGATACCCGTGGTGGGCAGAGTACAGATAGCCCTTTGTGAAGCTTTGTGCTTAATAATAAACAACAACATAACTATTTGAGTAGTATAGCTTAAAGGTTCATTCTTGTAAAACCTGCCAAGTCGATGATGAGAAACGTTCCCTACTGGAGCTTTGTGTAACTATAGGTTGGGAATTTTGAGAGTAATGTAACATGTAATTTTTTAAATTATTTCAGTTTAGTTTTATTTTTAAAAATTTAGATTAGACAATAGAACAGCCGAGATGGACGAATGGGTCCCATGTTGTCCCGAAACGTTATGTTATGTAATATGTTTTAGAATGAAAGAGTATAAACGTACGTGTTTAAATAACATTAATGTTTGAATGTTTGTACAGCGTAATATGGACGAATGGGTCTCATGTTGTCCCGAAACGTTATGTTATGTAATATGTTTAAGAATGAAAGAGTATAAACGTACGTGTTTAAATAACATTAAGGTTTGAATGTTTGTACAGCGTAATATGGACGAATGGGTCCCATGTTGTCCCGAAACGTTATGTTATGTAATATGTTTAAGAATGAAAGAGTATAAACGTACGTGTTTAAATAACATTAAGGTTTGAATGTTTGTACAGCGTAACATGCCTATATCTTAAAACACTACAAGAGATTTAACAGCATCTGTGATAGAATACTTACTAAGTAAATGAATGGATGATTAAAAGTAAGAACGAATTCATTTTGAAAAATGTACAATCCACCAACGTTTATGTCATCGATTTTGTAAATTATTACATAATTTTGTGAGCTTATCGTTTGTACAACAATAGAAAAAAACGACGTTCTTTAATAATTTTATTTCTTTTTTGTTTCAGATTTTCATCATCCATTGAAATGATTTCTTACTATTCAGATTTTCAGCAAAAACAGACCACTGAAAAATTGGACGAGTTGAACCAGAACTAAGAAAAATATCAATTTTAAAACTTTAAGCTGTTATTGATTTCTTTTATATAGAAATGACAAGAAAAGCCTTATAAATACACAAGCTAATACAGATTTACTTGTTGCATCATTATACGTCTGACATAAGTCAAACTTTTGTGTAAATATGTTTTAAATTCGTGTTACGAGATTAATCATTTTTAGCCATTACATTTTCCTCTTTATAACTCTTTAAATATATATTGCTTGGAAAATTATGTGTTAAGTGTAGTTTTTTATTCTAACCGTTTTGGAAGACAGTAAATTTTCTTAACGAAAAATTAATATAGTTATATATATCAATTGACGAAAAATAAAACAGTCAAGTGGAATATACTGTGCACAAACTTATTATTAGGTTTTGTTTCACAATAACGAAAAATGTCAACTTTGGACTTTGGAGAGACACCAGAAATTTTAAATGTGTCGTTTATGAACTCTTCAACTATTATAAATAACACAAAAGACAAGGGGATACAACGTGACGAGACAATAGCGCGGATAGAGGTCGGAGTCTTGGCGTCAATTTTCACCCTGACTATCCTGGGAAACATGTGTGTCCTAGTGGCACTGGCAGTGAGACGGATCAAAATGGCTAGGATGTATTACTTTCTCTTACATCTCTGTATTTCAGACCTTATTACTGCGTTTTTTAACATTCTGCCCCAACTTGCTTGGGATGTTACGTATCGATTTTATGGTGGAAATATACTGTGTAAAGTAATTAAATATTTGCAGATTTTGGGCCCTTATTTATCTTCCTACGTCTTGATGGTTACGGCCATCGATCGTTATCATGCGATTTGTTTTCCGCTTAGAAACTGTGTCTGGACTCCTCGAAAGTCAAAGCTAATGATCATTGCTGCCTGGACAATATCGATGTTATGTTGTGTACCTCAAGTGTTCATTTTCTCGTACCAGAAAGTTCTAATAGAACCAATTACTTTTGACTGTTGGGGGGTTTTCATTCAACCATGGGGAGAAAAAGTTTACGTCTTGTGGTATGCTTTGTCACAGTTTTTCATTCCACTTATTGTAATAACTTTCACTTGTGTTCGCATATGTAAGAATGTTTGGTATAACTTTCATTTGAGAGGAAAAAACTCTAGACCTCAGACATGCAACGATGTTGTAGACGAACATAACAGTAATGTTTTTGAAGAAGGAAGGAACCCAGAAGTGTCCACACGCCAAATTTTATTACTAGCAGGAAGATCTTACCGCTTCAAGGGACGTGGTCAAGTAGAAGTGTGTCTAGACGCTGAGGCTAACATGACAAAATATGATCAACAAAACTACAATGGTCCCAGAAGTCACTCTATGCGAGGTCTATCACGTGCTAAAGTCAAGACAGTTAGAATAACTGTAGTGGTGATTGCTTGCTACATTATTTGTTCAACACCATTCATTGTTGTTCAGCTTTGGGCTTACTGGAGCCCGTATGCCCAGACTTCGCCTATTTGGAAAGGTAAGCTATCTGTAAACTAAAAAAAAATATTTAAAACTAAAAGAAACAGTGAAATCTGAGTAACTTGATCAGCATAATTTTGATAACATGGTAACAAACAATCTGGTATGCTTGTCATTGTTAAGTTAGAGTTCCTATTATTTTTGTCCAACTTTTTCAAATTTTCTAAATTGTTTGATCAACAAATTCGGTTAAATAAAGGTCCAATCGAAATAGAGTAAGGTCTCACCAAGTCAAATAAAAGTCCAATCTAAATATAGAGTAAGGTCTCACCAAGTCAAATAAAAGTCCAATCTAAATATAGAGTAAGGTCTCACCAAGTCAAATAAAAGTCCAATCTAAATATAGAGTAAGGTCTCACCAAGTCAAATAAAAGTCCAATCTAAATATAGAGTAAGGTCTCACCAAATCAAATAAAAGTCCAATCTAAATATAGAGTAAGGTCTCACCAAATCAAATAAAAGTCCGATCGAAATAAAGTAAGGTCTCATCAAGTCAAATAAAAGTCCAACCTAAATATAGAGTAAGGTCTCATCAAGTCAAATAAAAGTCCAATCTCAATATAGAGTAAGGTCTAATCAAATCAAATAAAGGTCCGATACAAGATATTGCTATCAACTATACTCAAACGTCATCTCATTCAGGTAGCAGATTAGCAACCACTTTTTTATAGAGAGAATTTTATAGAGAGAAGAAAAGACAGATAGATGAATTAAGAAAGATCGTTAAGTCTGATTTTAATGAAAAATGATACTTATTGCTTTTTCCAATATACAAATATGTTGATGAGAGGGGTCTTGTTAACGTATAAACCGAAACACAAAACCACCAATGCATGTGGTATTCAGGTTCAATTGTTAACGTTTACAGTGAAACACAAATATAAAATATGTATGTGGTATTCAGGTACACAACTACCTTAGCCAGACTCCTGATCGTGCTGATAAAAGTCACCGTCATAGCCTAGGTACAAGAGAAAGAGGAACGAATACTGAAGTTAAGCTAACTACCAATTTACAAACATAAAGAAATACTTCTTACCTAGAATGTTTTGAAACCTGTCTTATTTACAACTCTGATCTGCCTTCTGATACACGTTACACGTAATCTGAGTGAATAAGTGAAATCATGTTTGACTTCAAAAATAAATTCACATTTATGTTCATGTAGTTTACTCAAAATGTATATAATAAAAATACAACAAGTTTATGAATTACGATTATCTTTTTCAGAAATAGCATAAAGACAAAGCAAAAGTCCGAAAATAGTTCATTATATACCAAATAAAGTATTTTGTGAGTGAAAACTACTCGGAAATTATACATATATCTTCATTAATTTTGGATGAAAAATTGATCCAATTTTGATTTCACCTTTCAAGACTAAATCGTATAACCTGTAAACATGGGCAACAAAGGAAACAATGTGTATATTATATTTTATGATCAATTCAAAGTAGATATGTGCTTGTCCTTCTCAGGCTTCATGTAAGTACTGTTCAAGCCAAGCACTCAGGTTTCCATCAAATCTATCTCAACGTTTCAAGCCAAAATTGTTTATTTTTCAGACTATATTGTATTATTGAATATACATCATTCGTGTACGTAAATAGTTTAATACGTAGCTGAAAAACTTGTGTGTATATCACTTGACATCAGGGTTCAATGACCCCCATGGTTTCTGTTGCGGTTGTTTACTCCACGTGACTTTTGAAAATCCTTTTTTAATCCTGAAGACACCACCTACTAAGATATGATTATCCCCCCCACACCATCTACTGAGGTATGATTACCCCCACACACCATCTACTGAGGTATGATTACCCCCCAAACACACACCACCTACTAAGATATGATTATCCCCCCACACCACCTACTAAGGCATGATTATCCCCCACACCACCTACTAAGATATGATTACCCTACACCACCTACTAAGATATGATTATCCCCCACACACCATCTACTGAGGTATGATTACCCCCACACACCATCTACTGAGGTATGATTACCCCAACTTAAATTATACCATAAAATAAAATAATCACAGATAAAAAAACAGAAATGGATTATCTATAAAAACCCATCCAGATCACATATGATGTATTTAACCATAGAATATACGAATCTACACACAGTCCAAGGTAGTAGCCGCTCAATGAATGACAGTAAAATTATTTTCACTGTTATGTACACAGCAATCATCCCGAATTTCCATGCTTATCCTTCTAGTAGATAAACCAACAACGATTTGTAAGCATAACGAACATTTTACCTAGAGAACATACTACCTGTTTTGACATGACGTTTTTAATATTTTTTTCATGGAAAAGATAGACCTGATTTGTTAAAACATGTAGTATGTTCATCGTTCTCAGAAATTAATGTTTGTCAATTTACTATTGTATTAGCATAATGTGCTTCTCTACACAAACAAGTTTATCCCAATAGCGCTGCCATCTAGGGATTGCAAGAAAAACCACCGTATAAGATAAACGCAAAAATAATTAAGATATAAATCTAGCACAATGTAACACATTTCGCCTGATTTTTACCGTCTGTGTTAATTTTCCATGTTGTATTAGAGTAAAACTTCTGACTGCACTTCCGTAAAGCTCTTTTATGTCAACCAGATTATCAGGTGCAGACTAGCGAAGCAGCTTAGCGCAAAGTTACCGACTTGTGTAATAAGATCGCGAGTTCGTTCAGGAAGTTTTTATACGGAAACGTCTATCTTTCAACCACAACACTTACACTGCAAAGACATTTCAGCTTTTTTCTCTGACTCTGTGGTCGTCATTATTAGCTATATCCAATTGTAGGAGGAAAAACGTAGATATACTTCAGGTGAACGATGTTACAGAAATGCATTTTATGCTCTTTTTTTATCTTAAAATGTTATGGATGGGGAAAAATGTAAGTTTACACCTATGAATTAAATATAATAGACTTATTCTATAATTATGCTTCAATATATGTGTAATTGTGTATAGAAGATTAAAGGTTACGAATATAGATTTCATATGCTTTAAGATATTTTTATAACCTTCAGCAGGGAAAACCGTTAGCTTTAGGGGCTGTCTTAAAAATAACTCTATTTCTTACCGACATGATTATAGAATATATCACTTGTATGTTACTGAGAAAAAAATAATACGACATCGAATTGCAATCGAATCTCTAATACGGTTTTTCGTCAAACCTCTTGAAAAAGTAAAACCTGAAACGAAAAGTAATACCTAAAACGAAAAGTAATACCTGAAACGAAAACTAATACTATATTTTGGCAACCACTCCTCTAGGTATGTTCAATATTTGAAAGATTTGTTTTTTATAGAACATCGTTTAATACGTGAAGATGTTAAGATATGATATTTATCCTTGAAATCATACAGTAAACTCGGTTTTGTACTCTAGGGCGTGGATGAATCATGAAGAGGATACAAGATTAAAGAATATATGTTTTTTCGTTTATAATAAAGATGTTTGTTTGTTTCAAGATATCGCTGGTTTTGTAACCACGCTTTCTAGTTATTCAACTAGAAGTTGAAGTTGTGAAATTGTTTGAAGTAAAGGGGAGTTGATAAAACTTACCATATTTATTACACCAGTAACAAAAATATACCTGCTAGATTGAATCCAGTTCAACGATGTTTTTATATTTATTTTATTAACGTTTACACATTATATATGTCTAATAAATGTTGTCACGAATGTTTACAAAAATGGACAATGATCTTGTTATACTAATATTATCAGTTAGAGTAGAGGGAATAAGTTATAAATGTATATAAACAAGAATCTAGTTTCTTGTGCTGGTTTACTTATTAACACGGCCCGGCATGGCCAGGTGGATAAGGCGCTCGACTCACAATCTGAGGGTCGCGGGTTCGAATTCGCATCCCACCAAACATGCTCGCCCTTTCAGCCGTGGGGGCGTTATATTGTGACGGTCAATCCCACTATTCGTTGGTAAAAGAGTAGCCCAAGAGTTGTCGGTGGGTGGTGATGACTAGCTGCCTTCCCTCTAGTCTTACACTGCTAAATTAGGGACGGCTAGCGCAGATAGCCCTTGTGTAGCTTTGCGCGAAATTCCAAAAACAAAAAACAAACAAACTTATTAACACCGATTCCATTGGTAAAATATATGAAGGGAAAATGAACGCTCTCATTACATTAATTTGTTATCACCTATTTTTTTAAATCCTTTATGCGTATGTTATTTTTTTTTGTCGGTAAATCAGGGAAGTACAAACAGAATAAAAAAGGAACTCTTTGGTGTATTCGACGTCGATAACGAAGTTTACTGTTGCCTAAATCCCTACACGTTACTAATATTTTGTAGTAGTTTGGTTGAAACGAATATCCTAATAAGTAATAAGCTCTCCTGTAGTTTTTATTGTCACACTTTATAAATGTTTCACATGACTGTGTTAACAAATAAGATCTAATCAGTATATCTGTATGCTTACAGTCACACACTTGACTAAACATAGAATACAAAAACAAAAAGAGTAATACATCTTATGAAATTTAATACCCAACATTTTATACCAAATAATTTAAATGTCTACGTTCTTAACTGGGTTATTAAAGATGTCGGATGGATAATAATCGTGGTATTGTTATATTTATATAAAATCTTCATACTTAAAATTTCACAAAATTAATCTATCATCACATATTTTTATAGCTTTAATTAAAATTATAAGCAGAACTTCGAATCATCGCTCTATTTTAAATTTTGTATTAAATTAAAATACAAAAATAATTAAGTTTTTATTACCAATATTTTTCCACTTATTCTATTTAATTGTAAACATACTTTTTCGACAATAAACATTTCTCCTGCTGTTCGCGGGAGGCTTCTTCTTTCTGTTGTATCTATTAATACTGTCATGCATTTATATTTCATTCATTACACAAAGGCGAGACTCTGGTTGTTGTTTTTTTTTTTTTGTGGAGTAGTTTTAATTAGAAAAAAAAAATTCTTCGTTTACA